CCCTCACAGCCAAGGGGTTGGCCAGACTTGCTGACAAATTATACTAACAGGATAATGTGCCATGGACCACATCAGGACTACATGAGAGAGCGTGGGCTAAGCACCATGTCAGAGCAACAGTCGGCAAAAATCGGTGTGTGGCTGCTCACAGGCCAGGCGAGGGACTCAACTCAGACCCTGCTTGGTGGGAGCTATGGTGCCCATGTCGCAAGATGCCAGAGCATTAGATCACCGAGTGTGACTCCTTCTTTGTAGACCAAGGCCCAGAGAAGGGTTGCGCCTTGCCCCCAGCCACACAGCACATTTGTGGCAGAGAGGGACTAGATTTGGTCTCCTGATTCTTACCAGTGCTCTTTTATATTCTCTTAGAGTGTCTTCTTCAAGAAACTTCCCACACTGCAGGTGGAGTTCTGAACCCTCTCACCTTAGAGGAACACCTACCTTCCCCTGAAAGTTCTGGTCAGGGCCTTAGTTATTGCACCTGTCCAATAGGTGTTCACCAGGAGAGCCCCTTACAGGATACCCTGGTGACTCCAGCTGAAATGTCCCCAAGCCACAGTGGATTTCTTCTCCAGCATTAGATCTTTAGGGCACCCTGGCGCTTGCAGGGTTAAGTCTGGCTTCTCCTCCCTTACTCCCCACTAATGAAACGCTTCTCTCCACGGTTGGTTATGGACTCATGGACACTGGCTAAGAATAGAGTTTGCAGCCCCTGGGCTTTGCTCAGAAACACTGCCCAGACAAGGGTTTTCTGTATCTGCTGCTCCCTGGGGCTCCAGGCCCCAGAGACGGGGTCTCTTCTTCGGCCCGGCCTAGCCGGGGGCTGAGGGCCAGTGCCAGCCAGCGTCTCTCTGAGGCCCAAACTGGACACAGCAGCAGGAGCCCAAGGGAACTCCAGAAAAGCCTGTGACTCTGACTCTGCTTCAACACACACTACTGAGCACCCCCTTGCACACACCAGGTCCACTTGGTTATCCTCTGTGCATTGGGTCTTTATCTCAACCCCATTTCACAGTCGAGGCTGTGGAGTCAGAGAGGGAAGAGAGGCCAAGAGGAGGGGCCAGGGTTGGATCTGAGCCCCTTCCTTGTGTGGAGGGAACGCCTGCAGGCTGAGACGAGGCTTCTCCCACTCCTCCCGCCCCAGCTGCAGCCTCCTTACTGCCCTTTCTCGGTCGGCGTCAGCCCCAGCCCTTCGTCCCTGCACGGCCCCAGCCAGCCCTTTGTCCCTACGCGGCCCCAGCCCCAGCCCTTCATCCCTGCAAGGACAGGAGCAGAGAAGTATCCTCGGAGCTAAAGACAATTATGATGGTGGTGGTGTGTGTGGGTGTGAAAGTGTGTGTGAGTGTCCATGCAAGTGTGTGTGGGTGGGTGGGTGTGTGTGTGTGTGTGTGTGTGTGTGTGTGTGTGTGTGTGAATGCCTGTGAACAGGGTTGGAGGGTGGGCTCAAGCTAGACTCCTAGCATGAGCAGGGACCACACTTCATTCCAGCCCCTCCTCCTGCCACTCGGAGTGCTCAACTCCCCTCCACAATGCCCTGATGAGCTCCTGTAGGCCTGCTCATGCCCTCCTGTGACAAGAAGCACTTCCCCCTCAAAGGCAGCCTGTAGCCTTACAAGAGGTCCCCACTGTGAAGACAAACTTCCCTTCCTCTCCTCTCTTCACCAGTCAGTCCAAGCTTACTGGAAGGATTGCAAGGGTCTCTCTGCAGCCTCCTCCCTCTCCAGGGAACCCGCCCTGGGCCACCCACTGAGCTCTCTCCTTCCTCTGTCTGCCTCCCCAGTCAGGCACTTCATAACATTTCTGCTTATCATCAGGCCCCTGGTCACATGGGTCATATCTCCCCAGCTAGACTGGGAGCCTCATGAGGACAGAGGCCTGTTTTCTTTGTTATACCCTCAACTTTAAATGTCAAGTGCTTAGAACAGTGCCTAGCACGTGATAAGTAAATGTTAGATATTATAATATAACAAGAAACACTATGTCATTACTTATTATTCCCATCCTCAGAATCTCCAGTTCCGTCACCATCTACCCTGGTCTCACCACATCAGAATGGGTGAATGCACCGAGAGAAAGGCTTGACCTTTCAGGGCCCACGAGGAAGCCAAGGCAGAGGTGCAGCCTTGTGACACGGTCTCTGATACTGAGTCTCCCAGGGCTGGGTGGGAGTCAGCTGTCACTGGGCCTGTTCCCCTGCCCCCACACCTGCTAGATGCCCTTGACATCCAAAGCGAGCCTCTTGAACTTGGTGACTTTGTCAGGCATTCTCTTTCTTCCTGGAGTAGGCAGGAGAGGGAGGGGAGTTCCCACAAGTAGGACAGCATCACCATCCCTCCTAGGTGAGGGTGACTAAGCCCTTCCCCGAGAAGGCAGAAGCAGCCCAGCTCTGGAAAACAGGTTCCCCCATCACCCGGAGTGACAGCGCTGTCAGCCGCCTGTCAGACCTCTGCCTGGCCCCCACCGCCCGGCACAGGCACACACGCGCACACGTGCACCCGATATTAAAGCCATATTTCTGGTTGCTGGGAAGGCACGGGTGTCACTTCCTCTGCCCTCGGCAACCCACTGGCCCAGCTCCCCGCTACTTCCCCACCCTGCCGCGGAGCACCATCCGTTTGTATTTATATAGATAAATCGGCCCGGCTAATTAAAGTTCTCTTGCCGGAGAGTGAGGGAATTAATAAAAGAACTTGGAAAGGAGCCGACCAAAAGCTGGGACGCTCAGAGCCGGAGCCAGAACCCTCCATTAGCAGCAACTGAGGCCAGAGGACCCAGCCAACCACCTCTCCCTATCCAGAGGGATACGTGAGCCCCCAGAACATGGCCTGGCCCCCTCCCACAGGGAGCGCTCAGGGCCCCAGGAATGAGGACACTGCAAGAGTGACACATACACTGTGTATTTTGTGCTATGATGTCACACATGTGTCTTCTCTTACCTCATGATATGTGAATACGGTCCTGAGGGCTTAAGCTTGCTGGGGAGAGAGGCAGTCAGGTGCAAGGACTCTAGAGACAGACAGACAGGGTTTGAATCCTGGTTCTTCCCCTTACAGGTGTGCAAACTTGGGTGAGTTATTTTAACCACTCTGTGCCTCAGTTTGTTTATCTGTAAAATGGGAGCATTATAGGCTGTGGGGATTAACAGGGTTATCACCTGATTCATGGTGAGTGCCCAATAACTGTTAGCTCTATTACTGCCTGCCTGGCAGAATGTGGAGGTCCCTGGGGGGCACAAGCAGTTAGTGAACGGCTACTGACCTAAAGGTTCATGGTTCAAACCCACTCAGCAGCACTGCAGGAGAAAGGCCTGGAGATCTGCTTCCATAAAGATCATAGCCAAGAAAACCCTATGCTATGGAGCAGTTCTACTCTGTAACACCTGGAGTTGCCATGAGTCAGAAGCAATTCGACAGCAATCGGTCTGGTTTGGGTTTGGCAGAACGTGGGCACAGGATGTAAAGTTCCTTTGTGGTTGTCATGTGTACAAAGAGGGTCTCACCATGAGCAAAAGAGCCTTCTGCCCTGAGGTTCCTGGATAACTGGGCAGTACCAGTCTGCAGGCTGTTCACTCAGGCCTCTACCACCAGCACACTCCAGACTGAAGACCCAGGCCCACGGTGCCCAGAACCCCTCCAGCGAGGCTCCTAGTATGGCTGATGCCCGCAGCCTCCAGGCCAGACTCTTTCCTTCTGCCTGATGAAGCTGCCTGATCCTTGCTGGAGGCTGGCTGGGACTTGCTTGTGAGATAAGTTCAGACTAATCCCTGCAGCTGGAGATCGGGGCTCCTGCTTCAGCTCCCCAGGACAGCATTAGCCTGGGGCTGTTTGCCCTGTGTCCCCACTCTGTCTCCCAGCCTCTCTTCCACCACTCTGGCCTCAAAGACCCTGACATCCTTGCTGCCCATGGGCAGAGCTGGAAGAACAGGCCACCAGCTCCTGAGCTGTATTCTTCACAACACCCCCTTTCCATTTTCCTATACCTTTGTCCATGGAAGGCAGGGAGGCCAGTGGGAAGCCTCTAAGTTGGGGCTGAAAGACCTGGAAGGCTCTACTCTGTTACTAACTGGCTGTGTGAACTTGATCCTGTCCAGCCCTGTGCACCAGGGGCTGGACCCTTCTCCATGCGCAGCCTTCCAGCTCAGGCACTCTGGGATTCCAAACACAAGCGCAAAGAGGGAATAGCTGCTATCACAGGCCTGGGCCTATTGCCCAGAGGAGCCAATTGGTGCAGGGAAGACTCGGCTATAGGAAGTCTCAAACGTAGACTCAGGTTTCTCCTAAAACTCCCAAAGGCCTCCTCGCCCTGGAGGGGGAGAATGATGGAGGCTGAGGTCCTGAACCCCTGGATGGGCCCCTGCCCTCAACACCGCCCCTGAGAGCCTCTTGCCCAGACCCAGATCCCCCAGGGGACACTCACACCCTCACCAGAAGTCAGCAAGGGCCTGGTCTACCTAAGCCACCTCCTTCCTGTCATGCAAGTCTCAGCTCAAATATCCCCTCTTCCAAGAAGCCACCCCCTTACCCACCTCTCAATGTCATTAGCCTTTTATTTTGTCTTCATTTAAAAAAAAAAAGAAAAAAAGTTGCTGGTGAGTAGATTCCAACTCACGGTGACCTCATGTATGTCAGAGTGTAGAACCGTGCTCCCTAGGGTTTTCAATGGCTGATTTTTTTTTTGGCAGTAGATTACCAGGACTTTCTTCTGAGGCACCTCTGGGTAGACTTGAACCACCAACCTTTTGGTTAGTAGCTGAGCACTTAACTGTTCGTGCTACCCTCGAACTCCTTTGTCTGTGGTGGCGTTTGTCTTCATAGCGCTCATTATTACCTAAAAGTTTGTATTTCTGGTTTTTTTACCTGTTTCTTCCAACAAGAAAAAAAGCTCCTTGTCTGTTCACTGCTGTATCTCCAGCACCTGGCACCCAATGAGTGCTTTTAAATGAGTAAGACAATGAATGAGTGAGTGAATAAATGGCTGGACCCCTCAGGAGATGGACACCCATGCCACCCACAGAGGAGGAGGTCAGGCCCACTGGGCTGAGGCCAGGCCACCTGAGGAAACAGCTGGACCTGCTGGAGCCAGAGGCCCCTGGGCTGGTGCCTCCTGTTTGTCGGCCCACACGGGCAATGGTCTGGTCCCCAGAGCCCCAAGTGAATAGGGGAGCAAGGTGAGGGCAGCCTGAGGAGGAAGGATGAGCCCGATATAGCTTTGGTACAATGAACAAGCGAAGGCCACAGGAAGGAGCAGAGGGGGAGAGGAAAGGTCTAACAATATGTAGGACCATCACTCATCAGCAGGATAGCACCATCCAGGTGGCTCTGTCCAGGCCTGGCTCATCCTTCCCGTTATCTCTCGGCACAATGACGCCAGGAAACCCCTCCCAGCCAGCCCTGGGGCCCCCACCCTGGAAACCTCCGAGCCCCAGGAGCTCACTGGTCCTACCCTTCCTTGTGCCTGGGCCAGAAGGTGGGGCTCAGAGAGGGCCAGGGTCTTGCCCAAGGCAACAGAGCAGAGTGGCCAGACCCCAGGTCTCCGGGCTCCCTGAGCAAGGCTCTTCCCACGCCCTAGCACCTTGCAGTGGTGTGCGTATCCACACCTACACTCCCCCCACCCCACTCACGCTCAGCCCTGGCAGAACCCTGCTCAGGCGTCAGCCACCTATTGCTAGGCGGCACTCGCTGTCTACGGCCTGGTGTCTGAGCGTCAAAGCCTAAAAATAAAAAGACAGATTGTCCACTTTGGCTGTAATTACTGCCTAAAAAGACCCAGTGGGGAAAAAGAGAGAGAGGGAATAAAGGGAAAATCTCAGAGCTGAGCATCCATCACCAGCAGACAGGCACCAGAAGGGAGCGGCTCTCAGGCCTCCTGTCCCCACCCACCCTCTCAGCTCACCAAGCGAGCAGGGTCCTGACCCTGCCGACCAGACAGAGACAGCGCAGGCCACATGGGGACCTAGAGCCAGCCTGGCTGCTCCCAGCTGGGTGACCATCCGCAAATGCTGACCTTTGTTTGGGACTCAGTATTCTCACCTGTACAGTGGGATTATTCATTCACTCAACAAATAGGTACTAAGTGCCTAATATATGCTGAAGTTATGCCATATGACTAGACTAGGGGGGAAGGATGGAATTGGAGAGATAGTGAGGAGGTTATTCCAACAGTTGAGAGCAGAGATGACAGTGGCCTGGACTGGGATGACAGTGGTGGCAATGGAGAGAAGAGGATGTTTAGGCGATATAATTTGGGAGTTGAGCCACAGGTTAGTAATGAATTGGATGCAGAGGGAGAGAGAGAGAGGACTGGAGGATGATCCCAGGTTTTCAAACTAAGCAATGTGTGGATGCCTAAAGGGGAAGACTCACTGTTTGGAACAATGATGTTTGACCGTGAGAATGTTGAGATGTCTGCATGACATCCCTGTGAACATCAGGCAGGTATTAGGGAAACGAGTCTGGAGCTAAGTGGCATGGTCCAGGCTGCAGAGACAAATGTGGAAGTCATCAGTAAGGGGTTAGTCTTTACAACCACAGAACTGGGTGAGATGACCTAGGAAGGGGGTGTGGATGGAAAAGAGAAGAGAGACTTGGGAGGGGGTCTGGGGCTCCCCAACAGTTAGAGGTCAGACAGAGGGGGAGCCCAAGAAGGGACCAAGGAGAAACAGCCAGTGAGGTAGGAGGAGAACCAAGTAAGGAGATTGTCCCTATAAGGAGGGAGTGGCCAACTGGGCCAGATGCTGCTGGACCTCAGAGAAGATGAGGGCAGCGACGGGACCATTGGGTTTGGTAACATGCAGTCTCATTGCAGCGGGGGAGAGGAGAATGGGGCGGGGAACAGCGTAAATGAAGTGTGGACAGCTGTGTGAGATGTTCTGCTCTTCAGCTAGCTGCAGGGACGTGGAATCAGTGGAGATGTATTGTTAAGTGGGAGAAGTAGAGCATATTTGATGGTCCACCGGAATGATCCAGTCACGAGAAAGGGACTCGTGGCGCGGGAGCGGAGAAAATGAAGGTTAAGGTTGAGGGGGAGAGAGGAAGGAGGTAAGTGGTGAAGCCCTGTAACCATGAGGGGTGGACATCACGGGAGGAGCAGTGGCCTCCTTCTTGGATTGACAAAGGGCCATGCTGCACTGACTGTGGTGGTGGCTGACACAGGGACAGCTGGGACTGAGGGTGGGCAGGGACTGCGGCTACTCCTGTCATGCTCAGGATCGAGGCTGCCCTGCTGGGCCTTGGGACGCAGGCTGCCCTGCTGGGCCTTGGGATGCAGGCTGCCCTGCTGGGCCTTGGGATCCAGGCTGCCCGGCTGGGCATGGGGCTGGTCCTCCCGGAGCTGAGGAGTGGGGGCAATGAGGAACAGCAGAGCCCCAGTCAGGGGAGGGCAGAGGCAGGACACCCTGGGCCAGGTAGCACCTAGTCCAGGCTTAAAGAAGACAGGCCTGGATGAAAGGCCTACTCCACAGCTGTGTGACCGGGGTGGGGGAAGTGTGCTGGGCTTGTTTGTCCTGACAGCCTCCCTGCGCCCTTACCTGGCTGTGCTCTGGTTTGCAGGGGGCTGACCCCTGCAGTCTGTGCCTCCCAGGTCCCAGCTCAGCTGGCTTAGGTTGGGCTGCTGGAAGGCACTGGTGGGAGACTGGTGGGAGGCAGGAGGGAAGCCCCTGGGTGTCTTGGGCGACATCTCTGCAACAGCTGTCTCCTCTGTGTCTCCCACAGAACATGCCCACTGAGGCTCCAGCTTCGCCCTGTGTCTCCTGGTCTAGGGTGGTGGCGGCTTTCTGCCATTGTCTGCTCTGGGTTACCATGCACCCTCATTTGGCTCCTCAGCATTCCCCCCCCCCCCGTGAGCCTATTCCCTGCACTATTCCTCTGCTGTAAAGACTCAGCGCTGCTCCTCTCTTCCTGGTTGGAGCCTGACTGGTGCAGCCTGCCTCCTCTGATCTCGTTTCCCCACCTGTAAAAGGCAGACAGTACCTCCCTCAGAGAGTCGTCATGAGGATTAAATGAGGTACCGGATATAAACATTCAGCCCCGGACCCGACATATCCAGAACCATGACAAATGAGCACTGGAGGAAGACAGCGTTCATTTACACACAGTCATTTCTTGAGTACCTGCTCTGGGCTGCATGCTGGAAACACCCCGTGGATCGTACATTGTCCTGGCTTATGGACCTCAGCACCTGGAAGCTCTCAGGTGTGCTGAGAGCTGGTACTACACGCACTGCACCAGGGCCCAGCCTAGTTTGTAGCGGGGTGGAGGGGGACTTCCGGACAAGGCCACATCTAAGCTGTGTGATGGGAGGACAGGCTGTGTGCTCCTGGGGGGTAGGCTTTGCATCCACAGCCACTCCCTCTTACCCCTGTACCCTGGCACAGTGTATTAACATCAACAGCTAATAACAATACACCAGCTACTCTCCACCCAGAGTCCCTGGGTGGTGCAAATGGTTAACACACTTGGCTGCTAACCTAAATGTTCGTGGTTCAAATCCACCCAGAGGCACCTTGGAAGAAGGTCCTGGAGATCTATTTCTGAAAAATCAGCCATTGAAAACCCTATGGAGCATGGTTCTACTTTGACGCACATGGGGTCACCATGAGTCGGAATCAGCTCAATGGCAACTGGCTTTTTACTCTTCTCTCAGTGCTTCCCCTGTGTCTAGCACTGTGCTGTGTCGTGCATGCATTCCTTTCATCCTCACAGCAACCCTAGGAGGTAGGTAACATATCACCTCACTGCTCTACGTTACAAGATGGGAAAATTCGGTGCTCAGGAAAGATAGACAGCTAGGGGTGGGATTAGGAGGCTGATGAGAAATCCAGCTGGGAAGTGAGTTGCTGCTTGCTGCAGGCACATCAGACTCGTTTGCTTCAGAACAAGGTGAATGGCGGCCTGCAGGGCCCCATGTGGGGTGTGCCCTGGACAACTCCAGAGGAGCCCTTCACACCCTGTCCTGTGTACATGGCGCCCCTTGGTGCTGAGCAGAGGATAGCCTGCATGGAGGGAGGGAGGAGGGGGTTTATCTGGGTGGAGGTCTGCCCCACAGCTGTCAAAGGTGAACTGGCTCCTGGGGAGGGAGGAGGCAGAGCCATCCCTGTGGCTGGAGACATCCAGTCCCTGTCCCATGGCCGCGGAGGTCAGACAACAGGAAAGGAGGCTGAGTGAGTGGTGGCCAGCCAGAAGGGTCCCTCCACCCACTTATCCCATTGTTGACCCCTAAACAGGCCTGTGGTTGCCAGAGCCACAGCGAAAACAAAAATGCACAGAATCTACTGGTGACCCGCCCAGGGCTTGACCTGGCGCTGACAGGTCCTGGAAACTCCACAGTCTGGGAAGATGGTCAAACACCAACTATAAAAGCAAGCCCTCTTCAAACTCCAGGGTATTCAAGGTATTATTTTTGTGGCTCATGATTTTCATTAAAAAATAAAGCATTTAGGAAGAACATTGATTGCAGTATGACTATTCTGTGGGTCTCAATTGCTCATCCATAAAATGGGCCTATGGCTTCTCCTGTCCCGCTTCCTCCCCAGGGTTGCTGAAGGGGCCGGATGGGAGGAGATGCATAGAGCAGGCTGTGAGCTGCCAAGTGTGGACTCATGTGCACTTCCCTCCCCCCTCGAGGCCCGGGCCATGTCTTGTTCATCTTTGTTCCCCCCTCCCCTTTCCCTGGCTCCCCACAGAATTGCATTGAGTATCACTTGAATGCAGTCCACCCAGCTTTCCTCTGCCTCGGTTTCCGTTGTGTGCACTGAAGAGAGTGCCCGGCTCTATTTCTCCAGAAGCAGCCAGAATTCAGTGATGGGTGCAGAGGAGGCCAAGTCCTGGGAAGAAAGCAAGAGGAGATTAGTAGGGGGTTGGCAGGCCCATGGGATAGTCATAACATCAGTGGCGCCCCCTGGGGTTGTGCAAGGGGGTGATGCCAGGGGCTGGTGTTCTCTTCCAGCTGCCCAGAGGGAGAGATGCTCTTGCTGTCGTCCCAGCCCACCTGCAGCAGGATTGCACACGCTCCACGCCCTCCCACCTCCCAGGCCATGCAGCCCCTCCCAGCCAGGGCAGCTAAGGACAAGGCAGGGAGCTCTCTCTCTGAGCCGGTGTCCCCATCCCCAAGCCCCCACTGCTCCTCCTCGTGTTGGATGGGCTGGGCACACAGTGCCAAGCCAAGGATGTCCTTAAAGCCACCTACATTTTTATCAGCCGAGATGGGGCCCACCCTCGCTCCTGGGGGCTGTTGCCATCCGTGCACTCCCCACACCCTGGCAGTCCCAGCCCTGCCCTTAACACCCAATAGCCCTTCACAAACAGAGCCCTGAGACTGTTAGAGCTGGAAGCGCCCTAGAGGTTACTGAGCCCCGCCTCTGCACATCTGGAGGGGAACAGGGAAGCCCAGGAAGTTAGCCCCGGAGCCACACCAGGGCTTTCAGGTGAGGGCTTTTCTTCAGCCTCTGCAGGTCCAGCACTGGGTCACCTTCCCAGAGCCACAGCTGCAGCTCTGTTTAGACAGTTACTCCCCGTGCAGCCCGCTGTATAAATGGTGATAATAAAAGTAAACAAGGCGGTGGTGTTTCAGCGGTAGAATTCTCACCTTCCAAGCCAGAGTCCCAGCTCTGATTCCCAGCCAGTGCACCTCATGCGCAGCCACCACCTGTCTGTCATGGGGACTTCATGTTGCTATAATGCTGATCAGCTTTCAGCAGAGCTTACAGACTAAGATGGACTAGGAAGAAAGTTCTGGTGATCTACTTCTGACATTCAGCCAGTGAAAACCCTGTGGATCACAGTCATCTGATCTGCAACCAATCATGGTGTTGGCAAAGGACCAGGCAGTGCTTCTTTCTGTCGTGCATGGGGTTACCATGAGCTGGGGGCCAACCTGATGGCTGTTAACAACCAGCAACAACAACAATGAAGTCCCCCACCATTCCAGGCACTCACTATGTGCTAAGTACTCCGCTAAGCTTCTGCATGCATTGTTTCATTTAATCCTTACAACAAACCCTAGTGTTAGGTCCTGTTATTACCCCCATTTTCATAGAGGAGGAAACTGAGGTTCTGGGAGGTTAAGTAATTTGTCCAAGATCACACAGTGATAAACCAGGATTCCAACCTGTGTCTGCCAGACTCCGTAACCACTGTCCCAAATAGCCAGGGCACTGGGGAGCCTGGGCTGGGGGCTGCAGCTGCCGCGAGGTCCTCATCTTCTTCCTCAATAAGTGTTTTGTTTTGTTTTAAGCACCTACTCTGTGCCAGGCAAGGAGCCATGGTGGCGTAGTGGTTAAACACTCAGCTGCCAACCAAAAGGTTGGTGGTTCAAACCCACCAGCCATTCCATTGGAGAAAGATGTGGCAGTCTGCTTCTGTAAAGAGTTACAGCTTGGAAACCCCATGGGACAGTTCTACTCTGTCCTATAGGGTCGCTATGAGTTGGAATCAACTTCATGACAGTGGGTTTGGTTTGGGCTGTGCCAGGCCTAACCCTGAAGATACAGAGATGAATTAAACCAAGTCCCAAGCCTCAAGGGGCATAAGGGACAAGGGTCTTGAGATCAGATTGGTATGTTTTTGGCTAAGAAGCCTTGTGGGAGTCTTCTCACATCAATTCGCTGGTTAACCTTTAACATGTTGCTTCTTCGCCCCCCTCCCTCTCCTATCTGGGAAATGGGCCTCAGAGGCCGGCCACGAAAAGCTAATGAGATAATGGCCAGGACAGGGCTCTGTGAAGCGTGTTAAGTGCTACACGTGTGAGGTCCCATTAAAGCCATTATCTGGCGGGCTTCCCTCTGCAAGAGGACTCAGGATGACTGCAGATGGGCACCCCACCTCCAGGGGTGGCAGCTGCAGGAGAGGGGCACCCCCTTTTAAAGCAGCTCTCACTTGGGGGGCACATCCTCCCTGGAAACCTGGCGTGTCCCAGGTAAACCTTCCCCAGTCCCAGCCCCCACCCAATGGCTCAGGCCACCACCCTGTCGTTTCACGAATGCCCACTAATGGGCCCATTTAGCGGCCCTGTCTGGTCTGTCACGGCAGCAGCTAGGCAGCAGCTAATTGCCGTTCCTCCTCCAGCCCCACACAGCCTCTGCAATCAGCCGGCATTAACACCGTGGCAGACACAGCATTTCCACCAGCACAGCTCAAAGCAGCTGAGGTTCGTGGACCTCAGCCCTTGACGTCTGGCGGTTATTTCCCAGGGTCCCCCTGAACCAGCCTACTTGGAGCAAGTTCAGGGAGTGGGGAGGAAAGCAGAACTGGGGGGTAGGGTCAGTAGGCAAAGAGCTCTTGGCAGAGGGGCGAGGGGAGGAGCCAGGGTGGCCCTGAGTAGGAATGAAGTTCAAGTCCACACATACATACACACACACACACACACACACAC